GACATAAAATGAAGAATATTTGAAATCTTCTGTCGTCATGTTTGGAAGAAGAAAAAATAAAAATAATTATACATATTGTCAATATTGTCCCTTTCAGATGGCTGTACTGTTGAAAATCATTTGATGCTTTGTCAATTGAGAGTCATTCACTTAAAAAGACTATCTAAACCCAGATACTCATCAAACTACAGGGAGTGCAGAATTATTAGGCAAATGAGTATTTTGACCACATCATCCTCTTTATGCATGTTGTCTTACTCCAAGCTGTATAGGCTCGAAAGCCTACTACCAATTAAGCATATTAGGTGATGTGCATCTCTGTAATGAGAAGGGGTGTGGTCTAATGACATCAACACCCTATATCAGGTGTGCATAATTATTAGGCAACTTCCTTTCCTTTGGCAAAATGGGTCAAAAGAAGGACTTGACAGGCTCAGAAAAGTCAAAAATAGTGAGATATCTTGCAGAGGGATGCAGCACTCTTAAAATTGCAAAGCTTCTGAAGCGTGATCATCGAACAATCAAGCGTTTCATTCAAAATAGTCAACAGGGTCGCAAGAAGCGTGTGGAAAAACCAAGGCGCAAAATAACTGCCCATGAACTGAGAAAAGTCAAGCGTGCAGCTGCCACGATGCCACTTGCCACCAGTTTGGCCATATTTCAGAGCTGCAACATCACTGGAGTGCCCAAAAGCACAAGGTGTGCAATACTCAGAGACATGGCCAAGGTAAGAAAGGCTGAAAGACGACCACCACTGAACAAGACACACAAGCTGAAACGTCAAGACTGGGCCAAGAAATATCTCAAGACTGATTTTTCTAAGGTTTTATGGACTGAGGAAATGAGAGTGAGTCTTGATGGGCCAGATGGATGGGCCCGTGGCTGGATTGGTAAAGGGCAGAGAGCTCCAGTCCGACTCAGACGCCAGCAAGGTGGAGGTGGAGTACTGGTTTGGGCTGGTATCATCAAAGATGAGCTTGTGGGGCCTTTTCGGGTTGAGGATGGAGTCAAGCTCAACTCCCAGTCCTACTGCCAGTTCCTGTAAGACACCTTCTTCAAGCAGTGGTACAGGAAGAAGTCTGCATCCTTCAAGAAAAACATGATTTTCATGCAGGACAATGCTCCATCACACGCGTCCAAGTACTCCACAGTGTGGCTGGCAAGAAAGGGTATAAAAGAAGAAAATCTAATGACATGGCCTCCTTGTTCACCTGATCTGAACCCCATTGAGAACCTGTGGTCCATCATCAAATGTGAGATTTACAAGGAGGGAAAACAGTACACCTCTCTGAACAGTGTCTGGGAGGCTGTGGTTGCTGCTGCACGCAATGTTGATGGTGAACAGATCAAAACACTGACAGAATCCATGGATGGCAGGCTTTTGAGTGTCCTTGCAAAGAAAGGTGGCTATATTGGTCACTGATTTGTTTTTGTTTTGTTTTTGAATGTCAGAAATGTATATTTGTGAATGTTGAGATGTTATATTGGTTTCACTGGTAATAATAAATAATTGAAATGGGTATATATTTGTTTTTTGTTAAGTTGCCTAATAATTATGCACAGTAATAGTCACCTGCACACACAGATATCCCCCTAACATAGCTATAACTAAAAACAAACTAAAAACTACTTCCAAAAATATTCAGCTTTGATATTAATGAGTTTTTTTGGGTTCATTGAGAACATGGTTGTTGTTCAATAATAAACTTAATCCTCAAAAATACAACTTGCCTAATAATTCTGCACTCCCTGTATGTCTTGAATCATCTAACTCTTCATTTACCAGATTCATGGCTAGATAATGGATCTTAAACCTGAAAATACTTCTCCTCAAAACAGTTTCCTTCATTTGTGTTTAAAGTGTCCAAATGAAATTCAAGCACAGTCTCAATTAACATCACGAGGTGTACTAAAAAGTCTATAAAAAGAACCACTTTATTTACATTTGGACAATTTCCTCAACTACTGAATTCTTTTAGCAAACCTTACCTCATAATCCCATCAAATTAATTAGCTTGTTGAGTTTGTTTGGTTATGAACTCAATCATTACTAATATTTCACCCCACTGTTGACTCTGCCAGAGGGGAAAGTGATACCAAAAACTTTCCAGCAAATGACTTTTTAGCAGAAAGGTTTAACATATATTTACTGGTATCAAGAATCAAGTTTAAAACAATCTGATCTTTTTTATCGCTGGGTGTCTGTATTGTATTATTGTGGAAAGTCATGATTACACCCATTTTTACAGCTCTATTATTTTTTTTCATCTCAATAAAAAATATTTAAATTTGATATCATTTAGACTTTTTCATGGCATGAAATGTTCGTTGTGCCAAATCGTTTTTTTCCCCATTTTCAGATTTTTGGTGCATCAACTGCAATTCCTCTCATCCTGCTCAAATGTCAGGCATCACTTTCTTTCACAAGCAGGGTTAATACATCCAGGTACCAAACTATATTGAAAGAAAAAAGAAATAAAAGGCATACCTTTGTATAGACTTGAAAACAAGTGCATATGAACAAGCAAAAATTACAACATGCATTTATTGCATCATGAATACGCCTGGTCATTTTTTTTCAAATGATGGTCCTCCAACATACCTTCTCTCTTGCTCTCTTGAATTTAGTTATGATTATTTCTGATACACACATCATTTTCTGATGGAAAATCTTAGTCTTAGTCACATCACACATGCACACTGGTGTTTAAATTGTGAAGCTGATATATGATAACAAATTAATTATAGTTTAGAGTGTTCTGGTAGACAACACATTCCATCAATTTGAAGTCATATCAAGTTGGTCTTAGGCACGTGAACTAGGAATTTAGAGGGATGTCCACATCTTTCAAGTCATTATTTAGTGACACATATAAAAGTATTATGAATCTATATGGACACTATCTGGGGGTATATAAGCAGAAGACTTTTCTGGTTTAGAAGACTTAACTGAGTACTGCTCACTGTCTGCAAGTGTGGGTCTTTTTTTAACGCAGAAGGACATTAACTTTGGTGCAATTGGTGTAACTATGGCTACTAAGACGATCTGCATCCTTCTCCTCTTCATATTGAAAGCAGGTTGGTTTAGATTTTGGCATTATCCTATAAATCGCAAATTCCTTGTCTTTATTACACAAACATTATTTATTCAATTTTCAAAATGTTCTGATTAAGAAGGAAAACGTCTGAATTAAGCTGTTTTTCTTTTTATATATGTGTAAGAGTAAGGAGTTACTCATTAGACTGTTTATATGTACTTAACGTGGGATAACTACGTTAGCTAAATGAACACAGAGTTCTATCAGTATAAATGTAAAATATAAATGTGTTATATTTAAAATATTGCCATTCCAATGCATTAAAGAAATGCATTACTAGTATTTAAATTGTAACAAATATTGTACTGTATCCATTTTCATTCAATAGTTACTTAGTTTACATTTTAATTAGAAAATAAAAAAGACGTAGTATAGAAAGGCATTTTTCACATTGCTCATTAACTTGCATTATAATAAAGAATAAAGATGAAGTTGCCTTGTAGCTATTATTAAACCTAAAATAAGGGATATTATTAGATTATTAGATGCAATTTTACTGTGAACACAGAATAGTGTCAAAATAATATTGTGTATCAAAAACAGATAATTGAAAGGGACATTTGCTTGCTAAAGTTTTGTGATAACGAATAGATAGCGAGGATTCAACAATTTCTTCAAGAGAAACCTAATGCTGTGTGTTTACGTTGTGAAACTGGCAGAGGTTGGATGGCGTGGGGAGCAGGAGGACAGTTGTTTCCCAGAAGACTAGCACCCATGGTTTGTGAGCTGCAGCCTCATAGAACCATTGATCTGCTGATTTTGGAGGTGCGTTGGGATGACTTGTCAGAGCAGGAGTGGGGCCGCATGTAGGAACTGAGAGGTTTTGCTAGCCAGCATTGTGCGGCTTAGTCCATCAGCTGGTGGTCCATAATCTCAATGAATTGGCTTACTGAGATATTTCCAGAGACTGCAACATCTGGGCTGACCAGGTTGCAAGATGCATGATGAGTATGTATGATGTCCCAGGAGATGTTTGAAGTAGCTGCAGGGGGATGAAACATTGATGTCAGTGGTGATGCCATCTCTGTCATGCTGTGTATGTCATATTGATGGAAAATGCAGGGATATATGATGTCACATCTACCAACCCCAGCAGCCCCCATGTGGCAAACCCATCTATTATGTGTGAGTAGGACCATCGACAAAAAGAAATGGGAAGCTTCATGATCATTTGTTCTTGACCACACGGGCCAAAAGTTGTCAGCAGTATTGCAATGTAATGTTTATATTCAATGAAAGATTAGGTCGTGTGTATTAATATATATACACACACACACATACTTCAGAGATCATTTCCCCCAAACCCAGATGGGAGAGTGAGTGGAGCAGGATATTCCTATGGGGGTTCAGGGGGATTCAGCTCTCTTTCAGAAGCCTTGAGGTTTCTGACGTTTAAATCCTTTGAAAAATGGAGAAGGTAAAGGTAAAAAGCATGATGATATCTCTGCTGAAACTCTGTTTAAAGAAACTGATTATCTGTGAGATGTGTTCCCAGTGTATTCTAACTGACGTTGCCCTCTAATCTTCATCTCAATGAGACAATGTCTGCTGGAGAATGGTGACAAATGAACTATCGTTCAAATGAATCCTTGCAGTACAGTATCTAAAGATAATACAAAAATAAGATGACATCCATTACATCTATAATACTGGAGTATAAAGGACACACTGTTTGTTGGAGTAAGTAATCAATGTCTACAGTGTCTGTCCCTTTATGTCTACCTACCCACCATTGTACCTTGTGTTTGACATGCTTCATACCACTCTAGACTGAAAGCTTGCATTAACGAGTCATGGTTTTGCCAGTAGTGGCGTATAAGTGTTTGCATAATGCCTACACTAAGCTCAGCACTCCATACATGTCACATCATATGTAAAAAAAGAAACTCATACACAACATGAAAGACTTATCAGTGTTAAGATTCCCTACCTTTTAAAATAAGAATATGTTCTGTTCCCTCAGCCTCATGTTCTCAGCAAAACTCTGAGAAAGATCTGAACATGATATGCATATTAATTAATTAAAAAGTTTGGTAAGACACATAATTAGTCCTGAAGAGAACACACCCATTGTGCAAGATACACATCACACAGGATCACAGCGGCAACCCTCCCACCACTGTAGTCAGGGCATCTCTTCAATATCAGTGGGGATAGCTAGTCAGCCAAGGACGGTTTCCATACTGAGTTGGTGATAGAAGCAGGATCTTCGGAATGCCGAACAAGCTATAAATCAATTAGACAATTACAGAGAGTAAGAGAGGCCTGTGCAGGTGTGATGACCAACATCTGTTTCAGGAAATCTTGTTAGTCTTTATCGTCTACCTGAAAAAAAAGAAAAAGAAAGTTACGTAGCAATCGAAGTAAACAACAAAAAAGACTTCATTGCATCAAGTTCAACCTTCACTCATCACTTTCTACTGAAGTCAAATATAACCGATTTACAATTGTAACTTTCTAAAAACAGAATTTCCATCTTTACTTTCATTGGCAATTCTTCTCAGAAGGCTAAGCTATTCCCGCAGATGTTAACCGTTATAGCTAACAGAATAATTAACTTTAATATCCTTGCATAGTATGAAAACCTAACGTCTATGACAGCAGCAATTAACAGGAACATAATTTGGGTTCAAAATGGCAGATTTCTGTAGGTTTTTGTCTAGGGCACCGCTTGGCTTTTTAAATGTTTGTTTTCATAATTAAAGTATTACCCTAATGCTGCATCTATGTCAACTCTCATGCTGTGTTTTCAATGGTTCTGAAAATATAGGGCTGATCCTGGGCCTGTGCACAATACTCTCTCTCTCTCTCTCTCTCTCTCTCTCTCTGTATGTATAGACGGAGCTCTCTCCCTCTGTATGTACAGACTGAGCTCTCTCTCTCTGTATGTACAGACTGAGCTCTCTCTCTCTCTCCCTCTGTATGTACAGACTGAGCTCTCTCCCTCTGTATGTACAGACTGGGCTCTCTCTCTCTCTCCCTCTGTATGTATAGACTGAGCTCTCTCCCTCTGTATGTACAGACTGAGCTCTCTCCCTCTGTATGTATAGACTGAGCTCTCTCCCTCTGTATGTACAGACTGAGCTCTCTCCCTCTGTATGTATAGACTGAGCTCTCTCCCTCTGTATGTACAGACTGGGCTCTCTCCCTCTGTATGTACAGACTGGGCTCTCTCTCTCTCTCCCTCTGTATGTACAGACTGAGCTCTCTCCCTCTGTATGTATAGACTGAGCTCTCTCCCTCTGTATGTACAGACTGGGCTCTCTCTCTCTCTCCCTCTGTATGTACAGACTGGGCTCTCTCCCTCTGTATGTACAGACTGGGCTCTCTCTCTCTCTCCCTCTGTATGTACAGACTGAGCTCTCTCCCTCTGTATGTATAGACTGAGCTCTCTCCCTCTGTATGTACAGACTGGGCTCTCTCTCTCTCTCCCTCTGTATGTATAGACTGAGCTCTCTCCCTCTGTATGTATAGACTGAGCTCTCTCCCTCTGTATGTATAGACTGAGCTCTCTCTCTCTGTATGTACAGACTGAGCTCTCTCTCTCTGTATGTACAGACTGAGCTCTCTCTCTCTGTATGTACAGACTGAGCTCTCTCCCTCTGTATGTATAGACTGAGCTCTCTCTCTCTGTATGTACAGACTGAGCTCTCTCCCTCTGTATGTACAGACTGGGCTCTCTCTCCCTCTGTATGTACAGACTGAGCTCTCTCCCTCTGTATGTATAGACTGAGCTCTCTCCCTCTGTATGTACAGACTGAGCTCTCTCCCTCTGTATGTACAGACTGGGCTCTCTCTCTCTCTCCCTCTGTATGTACAGACTGAGCTCTCTCCCTCTGTATGTATAGACTGAGCTCTCTCCCTCTGTATGTACAGACTGGGCTCTCTCTCTCTCCCTCTGTATGTACAGACTGAGCTCTCTCCCTCTGTATGTATAGACTGAGCTCTCTCCCTCTGTATGTACAGACTGGGCTCTCTCTCTCTCTCCCTCTGTATGTACAGACTGAGCTCTCCCCCTCTGTATGTATAGACTGAGCTCTCTCTCTCTGTATGTACAGACTGAGCTCTCTCCCTCTGTATGTATAGACTGAGCTCTCTCTCTCTGTATGTACAGACTGAGCTCTCTCCCTCTGTATGTACAGACTGGGCTCTCTCTCTCTCCCTCTGTATGTACAGACTGGGCTCTCTCCCTCTGTATGTACAGACTGAGCTCTCTCTCCCTCTCTCTGTATGTACAGACTGTGCTCTCTCCCTCTGTATGTATAGACTGAGCTCTCTCTCTCTGTATGTACAGACTGAGCTCTGTCTCTGTATGTACAGACTGAGCTCTCTCCCTCTCTCTGTATGTACAGACTGAGCTCTCTCTCTCTCTGTATGTACAGACTGAGCTCTCCCTCTGTATGTATAGACTGAGCTCTCTCTCTCTGTATGTACAGACTGAGCTCTCTCTCTGTATGTATAGACTGAGCTCTCTCCCTCTGTATGTACAGACTGAGCTCTGTCTCTGTATGTACAGACTGAGCTCTCTCTCTCTCTGTATGTACAGACTGGGCTCTCTCTCTCTGTATGTACAGACTGAGCTCTCTCTCTCCCTCTGTATGTACAGACTGAGCTCTCTTTGTATATACTTGGCTCTCTCTCTGTGTATGTATATACTGAGCTCTCTCTGTATGTATAGACTGAGCTCTCTCTGTATGTATAGACTGAGCTCTCTCCCTCTCTCTCTCTCTCTCTCTCTCTCTGTATGTATACACTGAGGTCTCTCTCTCTCTCTGTTTGTATATACTGAGGTCTCTCTTTCTCTGTATGTACAGACTGGGCTCTATCTCTCTCTCTCTCTCGCTGTATGTATACACTGAGCTCTCTCTCTCTCTATGTATATACTGAGCACTCTCTCTCTCTGTATGTATATACTGAGCTCTCGCTCTCTCTGTGTATGTATATATTGAGCTTTCTCTGTATGTATAGACTGAGCTCTCTCCGTCTCTCTCTCTCTGTATGTATATACTGAGGTCTCTCTCTCTGTGTATGTACAGACTGGGCTCTATCTCTCTCTCTCTGTATGTACAGACTGAGCTCTCTCTCTGTATGTATAGACTGAGCTCTCTCCCTCTGTATGTACAGACTGAGCTCTGTCTCTGTATGTACAGACTGAGCTCTCTCTCTCTCTGTATGTACAGACTGGGCTCTCTCTCTCTGTATGTACAGACTGAGCTCTCTCTCTCCCTCTGTATGTACAGACTGAGCTCTCTTTGTATATACTTGGCTCTCTCTCTGTATGTATATACTGAGCTCTCTCTGTATGTATAGACTGAGCTCTCTCTGTATGTACAGACTGAGCTCTCTCTGTATGTATAGACTGAGCTCTCTCCCTCTGTATGTACAGACTGAGCTCTGTCTCTGTATGTACAGACTGAGCTCTCTCTCTCTCTGTATGTACAGACTGGGCTCTCTCTCTCTGTATGTACAGACTGAGCTCTCTCTCTCCCTCTGTATGTACAGACTGAGCTCTCTTTGTATATACTTGGCTCTCTCTCTGTATGTATATACTGAGCTCTCTCTGTATGTATAGACTGAGCTCTCTCTGTATGTATAGACTGAGCTCTCTCCCTCTCTCTCTCTCTCTCTCTCTCTCTCTCTCTGTATGTATACACTGAGGTCTCTCTCTCTCTCTGTATGTATATACTGAGGTCTCTCTTTCTCTGTATGTACAGACTGGGCTCTATCTCTCTCTCTCTCTCGCTGTATGTATACACTGAGCTCTCTCTCTCTCTATGTATATACTGAGCACTCTCTCTCTCTGTATGTATATACTGAGCTCTCGCTCTCTCTGTGTATGTATATATTGAGCTCTCTCTGTATGTATAGACTGAGCTCTCTCCCTCTCTCTCTCTCTGTATGTATATACTGAGGTCTCTCTCTCTGTGTATGTACAGACTGGGCTCTATCTCTCTCTCTCTGTATGTATATACTGAGCTCTCTCTCTCTCTCTCTCTGTATGTATATACTGAGCTCTCTCTCTCTCTCTCTCTCTCTCTGTATGTATATACTGAGCTCTCTCTCTCTCTCTGTATGTATATACTGAGCTCTCTCTCTCTCTCTGTATGTATATACTGAGCACTCTCTCTCTCTCTGTGTATGTACATACTGAGCTCTCTCTCTCTCTGTATGTACAGACTGAGCTCTCTCTCTGTGTATGTATATACTGAGCACTCTCTCTCTGTGTGTGTATGTATATACTGAGCTCTCTCTCTCTCTCTGTATGTACAGACTGAGCTCTCTCTCCCTCTCTCTCTGTATGTACAGACTGAGCTCTCTCTCTCTCTCTGTATGGATATACTGAGCTCTCTCTCTCTCTCTGTGTATGTATATACTGAGCACTCTCTCTCTCTCTCTCTCTCTCTGTATGTATATACTGAGCACTCTCTCTCTCTCTGTATGTATATACTGAGCTCTCTCCCTCTCTCTCTCTGTGTATGTATATACTGAGGTCTCTCTCTCTCCCTTTGTATGTATATACTGAGCACTCTCTCTCTCTGTATGTATATACTGGGGTCTCTCTCTCTCTCTCTCTCTGTACATGTATGCTCACTGGGGTCTCTCTCTCTCTCTCTGTGTAGTATATACTGGGCACTCTCTCTCTCTCTGTATGTATATGCTGGGCTCTCTCCCTCTCTCTCTCCCTCTCTCTCTGTGTGTATGTATATATACACAGGGGTCTCTCTCTCTCCCTCCTGTATGTATATACTGAGCACTTTCTCTCTCTCTCTGGCAATGTGCTATACTGATCTCTCTCTCTCTCTGTATGCATATACTGGGCTCTCTCTCTCTCTCTCTGTATGTATATACTGAGGTCTCTCCCTCTCTCTCTCTGTATGTATATACTGAGGTCTCTCTCTCTCTCTCTCTGTATGTATATACTGAACTCTCTCTCCCTATCTCTCTCTCTCTCTCTCTGTATGTATATACTGAGCTCTCTCCCTCTCTCTCTCTCTCTCTCTCTCTGTGTATGTATATACTGAGCACCCTCTCTCTCTTTCTCTGTATGTATATGCTGAGTTCTCTCTCTCTCTCTCTCTCTCTCTCTCTCTCTCTCTCTCTGTATGTATATACTGAGGTCTCTCTCTCTCTCTCTGTGTAAGTATATACTGAGCACTCTCTCTCTCTCTGTATGTATATACTGAGCTCTCTCCCTCTCTCTCTCCCTCTCTCTCTGTGTGTATGTATATACTGAGGTCTCTCTCTCTCCCTCTGTATGTATATACTGAGCACTCTCTCTCTCTCTGTATGTATATACTGAGCTCTCTCTCTCTCTCTGTATGCATATACTGAGCTCTCTCTCTCTCTCTCTCTGTATGTATATACTGAGGTCTCTCCCTCTCTCTCTCTGTATGTATATACTGAGGTCTCTCTCTCTCTCTCTGTATGTATATACTGAACTCTCTCTCCCTATCTCTCTCTCTCTCTCTCTGTATGTATATACTGAGCTCTCTCTCTCTCTCTCTCTCTCTCTCTCTCTCTCTGTATGTATATACTGAGGTCTCTCCCTCTCTCTCTCTGTATGTATATACTGAGGTCTCTCTCTCTCTCTCTCTGTATGTATATACTGAACTCTCTCTCCCTATCTCTCTCTCTCTCTCTCTGTATGTATATACTGAGCTCTCTCCCTCTCTCTCTCTCTCTCTCTCTGTGTATGTATATACTGAGCACCCTCTCTCTCTCTCTCTGTATGTATATACTGAGCTCTCTCCCTCTCCCTCTCTCTCTCTCTCTCTCTCTCTCTCTCCCTCTGTATGTATCTACTGAGCACTGAATATGGTAATATCATGCTAAGGTGTTGTCACTAAATGATACATTGAATTGCATGTAACAAATCTAATCAGTAGGTACTATATATTAAATGATCATTTAATGAGTATTTAATCACATGTAGATAAAGCGTTAAGGAATTAATTCCTCTTTCTGTTAATTTCTACAGATTTGGTGTTGACACAAAACACTACAACAGGTAAGAAACATTTACTTTCAGATGATCTAATATACCCATTTGCCTTTACTTAAATATCCTAAAACAGAATTATATAGAGATTGCTCTTCAGTCTGTATGTTACTGTGTGAACGTTTTATAAGACTGTGGGCAGATGGAAAAATTCACAATACATAAAGGTTGTCCCATATAACAAAGGATATATATTTATTCTGAACATAAAAATAATTTGTAGAGAATAACATTTTCAAAGCAGAGCATAAGATATTTATTGGGACATTGTAAAATTAGAAATCTATCAAAAATGAACAGTGAGCAACACACACATACAGACAAACCCACTACGAGACAAAAGAAATGAATATGGGCAGAACAAAAATGGTAAGAGGCCTATTACACACGTGGAAGGAAGCATAGCACATCCACTGAACTCACACACACAGAGTTAGCCAAAGCAGCTACAGAACTTAACATAAAGCAATGGCCACCTAGCTCGCTGCACTTATCAGAATACCTCTACCTACTAAGCAAAGGCGGACTCGCCTGATAAAAACTAGAGGAGAAACTAGGGATGAAGGCCTGACGCAGACAGCACCCCTATTGGGCAGGATTAAACATAAGCATGACCTGACACATATCTAGGAATTACAGAACTCATCCAACCTCAATCGGATAATCAATGACTTCCCACAAGACGCACAGACCATAATCACGAACGGACTGCCCAAGATTTGTTTAACCAACACAAAATGAGCAACACTGAGCGCACAAGTAACCAGATGGGAAACACCAAGCCAGCTCTAGCGGCAGACCCAGTACAAAAACACCAATCGGGTAAATCCCGAAAGCAACAAGCACTATGAATAAGCCTACAAAACTAGCCTGTAGTGACAACTCCAACACTACCTTATTGCACACTACGATTCATGCGAAATGTCCGGTATCTGTGAATATGTTTCTGTGAATATGTCTATCGATGTAAGAACGAAGTTGTAAATTGAAAATACACATATGCATTCTTACCACTAACCCTCCCTTCCCCTCTTGATCTCTGTAATATATTCTACACAATTAACAGTGGGAACACCACAAGGGACCTCTGTGTCCATCAACATTGTGGGCCTGCGAGCTCAGATAACCAAATACATCAACTGTGTTCAACTTTTGACAACACCTTCTACTTGTTTTTGAATTACAAAAAACTTTGGAGATCTACAAATCTCACGGTTGTATAACAAATAAAACTCAGATTTACCAAAAAAAATTAAAAATAGAAATCTAGAGATAACCTGAGTAGATCATTGCTCAAATGAATGAACATTAATCCTAGTATTTAGTGATTGGTGCACTAGGCAGTTCCTGAAACTGCTGATCTGTGCATCAAGGCGTAGCAGTCATACAGATTATATTACACCATGTAATGGGCTCCCATGTTGTACGGTTTTATTAATCATTTAAATACAATAAACTCATAAAAAGCTACATTAAACTCATCCAAAGCTACATTATAATGACCGTTCCACTTTAAAAGTTCACAAAATAATATTTCCTACTCTTCAGGAGTACAAATGACTCTCAATCATGATTGCATTCAATTGGAAGACATGATGCATGAAGGAAAAACAAACAAACAAGCACAGTGTAACTATGAGGCATGAAAGATGTATATATATATATATATGCAGACTGTATCACTCACAATATCAAGAGCTACTCTTAGCTCCAAGTGTCATGCCTGAGCAGTACAATCCCTGCCTATGAAAAACAGAGGGAATAGAAAAAGCATACAACAAGCAGGACATAATGCAGTTTATAATGTGCACAGTACTACAGGGTGGGCCAAAATTCAGAGTAGGGATGGAGGTGTCAATAACTTGTTTTATTATTAAACCAATTTCAGCGATATTACATACAATGAATGCTTAGCATATGGAGATTTGTTTGACTAAGAATGGAAGATAACATCAATGAATCAGCTCCATTCGTCACCTTGCAAAGTTAACCTCTGCCGATTGCTTTAAAGATTGAGGTTCTAGCAATTGAATTTCTGCACAGATATATTTTCTTTGAACTGCTCAAGTGTATCCAGTTTGTTCAGGTACACATTCTCATCAGATATCCCTACAGGAAGTAATCAGGAGCTGAAAGGTCGGGCGAATGTGACCACCAATTCATCTGGGAATTTCTTGAAACTATTCGCTCGGGGAACAGTTGTCTCGGTTTTGAAAACAAAATTCTTACTAGTTGTTCCTTCATGAGATAACCCATGATGAATCTCCCAAGACTCAATTATAACATGTAACTGCATAAAATGTTTTAACTACTAACAAAAAAGTTATTTACCTGTCAAATTCTACTGAATTCTGGCCCATCCTGTATATGCTGTAGTTCCAGACTCACAGGTATCTAGAAAGAATATTTAACAATAACCGCCTCCCAGCATTAATTCATACACAAAAAAGGAAACAAATCAATTTAATAATGAGGACATAAATATATACACTTACATAATATCGAGAACGCCTGTGCAAATAGTAACATGAAAAGAACAATCATCATATAAGATATCATATTTTCCAACTGTGGAGTTAAACATTATATTGAAAGTTGGTTTGTGGCAATTCATTGCAGTAGGAAAGCACAACATTCCATACATTTTCACTGCAGACTAAACAATGGTATACTTCATTGGTATACTCTACTTCAGAGCTTCTTCATATCCTTTTGTTTTTTACTGCAGACTTTTTAGTAGTAAAATATACCCTGAAAAACTCCCCTCTTTCCAAGGTCTCTGTCTTTATTAACTTCTTCCTTATGTTTCCATCTAATATGCTACTACTCCACAATCTGAACTTCATTATTAACAAATCATATTTTGCATGTTTATAGATACCACTGCAGCTCCAGCCACCACTACAGCTCCAGCCACTACAGCACCGGCCACCACTACAGCACCGGCCACCACTACAGCACCAGCCACCACTACAGCTCCAGCCACTACAACTGCTCCAGCAACTACAACTGCTCCAGCAACTACAGCACCGGCCACCACTACAGCACCAGCCACTACAACTGCTCCAGCAACTACAACTACTCCAGCAACTACAGCACCGGCCACCACTACAGCTCCAGCCAGCACAACAGCTCCAGCAGCAACTACAACAGCTCCAGCAACTACTACTGCACCAGCAACTACTACAGCCCCTGCCACCACTACAGCTACAGCCACCACTACAGTTCCAGCCACCACTACAGCACAGGCCACCACTACAGCACCAGCCACCACTACAGCACCAGCCACCACTACAACAGCTCCAGCCACCACTACAGCTCCAGCAGCAACTACAACTGCACCAGCCGCAACTACTACAGCTCCTGCCACTACAACTACAGCTCCAGTCACTACTACAGTATCTACAACTTCTACAAGAACTAAAACTACTGCAGTACCAGCAACAGAAAGTGGTTCTGGCCAATCTGGTAAGAATGTCATTAATCAAAGATTCATTGAAATGACTGTTAAACGGTTAAGACACTTTCACTATGAAAATATGTTAAATGCAGAACATTTTTATATTTCCCTTGATTAACTGTAAAATAAGAAAAGCATTTATAGAATCCAAGAGCTTCGATAACGCCTGTCGCATGGGTCCTGCATAAAATCAAGTGGCTTATAAAATAAACTAAAGAATTGTGAACAATTTGTAAAATAACTCCGGTTACTGCAATCCTCAGTTTAATAAATGAATTAATAGTAATGAAAAGTACAGAGCTTCAAATCTACCTTTTCTGGTCCATAACAAATCTGGATGAATTACATAAGAAAATAAAATCGCTGAAAATCTTCAAGTTTATAACAACCAATCTCCTAGTGTGTAACAACCAATCTCCTAGTGTATAACAACCAATCTCCTAGTGTGTAACAACCAATCTCCTAGTGTATAACAACCAATCTCCTAGTGTATAACAGCCAGTCTCCTAGTATATAACAGCCAATCTCCTAGTATATAACAACCAATCTCCTAGTGTATAACATCCAATCTCCTAGTATATAACAACCAATCTCCTAGTATATAACATCCAATCTCCTAGTATATAACAACCAATCTCCTAGTATATAACATCCAATCTCCTAGTATATAACAGCCAGTCTCCAAGTATATAACAGCCAATCTCCTAGTATATAACAGCCAGTCTCCAAGTATATAACAACCAATCTCCTAGTGTATAACAGCCAATCTCCTAGTATATAACATCCAATCTCCCAGTATATAACAGCCAATCTCCCAGTATATAACATCCAATCTCCTAGTATATAACATCCAATCTCCGACTCCTAGTATATAACAGCCAATCTCCTAGTATATAACAACCAATCTCAATCCCAGCATCAGAATCTTTCTTTGATGCCCCCATAAGCATTGTTTGTTTGGATGTCTATTTATCAGATTCCCTTCACTGAAGGAGGATTTGATTGTAGCCTGAGATATTTTACCTTTTTTAGTTTCGTTTCATAGAGGGTTTTCAATATATTCAGTTTATTTAATTATATCATTTTATATCCATTTTAACTTTCAGTAAATCTTTATTTTTACTACACTTTAGTTTGTGAAGTATTTTATTTTGTTATGGTGACTGGTACCAGAAAAAAGAAGTAAACAGGGCAGATTGACAGAATGACATGAATACACGTGGACAATAGAGAGAGACAGACAGATTGACAGAAAATTGATATAAAGGTGGATAGACAGACAGAACGACAAATATACAGAGTAATGGACAGACACAGGGTAAGAGAAAGTTACAGAGAAAAATAGGTAGACAGTAAGACGATGATTTCAAAAGTATCATTGTGTGAGTGTGTGAATGAGAGGAGTGTGTATGTATGGGAATGTGATTTAGTGTATATATGCGCGAGTGTACATAATACAATGTATGTAGTTAGGGAAGGCAAGAATTGGACAATAAATAAATAAATAGATATTCTACAGTTTGCGGGGAGGGTGTGCCAACAAACATTCCCACCCGGGGGTTCAAGCAACCTTGTAATGCCTCTGAGAGAAAGACAGGCAGAAACAAGAAGACACAGGCAGATAAATAAACTCAGTAAAAGACAAACAGGCAGACCATCAGAGTTATTCAATTTAGTGAGAATTCAAATGTTAGACCAAAATAAATTCATTGGAAAACTTCCACATTTGCTACTTCTGCCTTTAAATTCAGCTTGAAATCACTGAGTTTGAACCTTAGTAAACGACCCTGTAGATATTGTTCTGGCTTTGCCCTCCGTGTGTCACCTTGCCTATCAGTGCGACAGATAACATTTGTGTATTTTTTGTTGCAGGTGGAGTCCCAGGGTGGGGGATAGCACTAATCTGTATGATCACCATTTCCATTTGTGCACTTATTGGGATTTGCATCTACTCGGTGAGTGAAAATATCTGATGATAGTAAAGTAATATGTGTATTGTAACATCTGCCCAAGTATTTATATGCATTTATTAGTCTTTTATATATTTATAGACAAAATAGTCAAACTGTTAATAATAATGACTAGCAGAATTTGTCTAAAATAGCTATTTTGGCCTAAATTTCAAAATCCACTTTGAATTCACTTTGTATTCTTGGCACTTTAGTGAATAACTATGGAGGAACTATAACTACTTCAATGAGATAAAGTGGTTATAGTGGCTACAGTACCCTGCACCTCTTCAGTTGTATTAAAAATCAATACCTTGGCCCTCTCTGAACTTTACATTTATATAGAGTCATGGGAAAAAGAAAGTACACCCTCTTTCTATACACAGTCATGGAAAAAAGAAAGTACACCCTCTTTCTATACACAGTCATGGGAAAAAAGAAAGTACACCCGCTTTGAATTAATATGTTACTTAAAATTAGGTAAATACAACCTCAGATGAACAGTAACACATAACATATTACACCGGGTTACGATTTAACAAAACTAAAGCCCAAATCTATGTGTGAAAAACCAAGTTGACCTTATGATTTAATATCTTGCAGAACCACGTTTAGCAGCAGTAACTTGCAGTAATAGTTTTCTGCATAACAGCATTTCACTTGTCTAGTTTCAGGTCTCAATTTTGGCCAAGTTTTAACTTGCAGACAGATGACCTCACATTTGACTCTAGGATACTTTGGTCAACTCAATGACTGCAAGGTTCCCAGCAACTGTAGCGGCAAATCAAGCCAAGCCCAAATCCTCACCCTTACCCTTCCACCACCATGCTTGATAGTTGGTTTGCTTGATTTTTGACAAATGTAGCGCTGTGCATATGGTCTCACCTGTATAGAGGACATTGTTCTAGACGTCTTGTGGTTTGTACAAGCTTTGCTGCCATGTTCTTTTTAACCCCTTAAGGACACATGACATGTGTGACATGTCATGATTTCCTTTTATTCCAGAGGTTTGGTCCTTAAGGGGTTAAAGAGAAGAGGATTTCTC